CCCCCAACAGGGTCCACATAGATATTGCTGTTCAAAGTGCTGTTTCACTTTATTCCCTGTTATTACCCGTTTTTGGTTCCGTTTTATTGGTTTTTGTCTTAAATGGCGGTCAGGATCCTTTTTTTTTTTTTGTGTCATGATTTCTCATCAGGTCTTTAACAGATGTGCAATAAATGGTATTTGAACCTTTGAGTGTAATTTAAAAATTAATGTTCATTCTTTTAATCAGAATTCTCCTTTTATCCAATGAGACATTGGTTCAGGCGATAGCCGATCCAAATGGTGGCCGGTCAGCCCTTGCTAGGTGTTCATTGATGCGATAGAACTGTTTCTTCTTATTTTTTTCGTTCTTGCTCCATCTTTGACATGTCACCCCTCTTAAACCTGCTTGTAAAAATCCACATTGTCCGTTGGGAGTCTCCCTTTGTTTTTTTTGGTCACGTATTGTCACTTTCTCCTGTTGTCTGTGACCCATTCTTTTTACCCTTCTCCAGTCTCCTTGTTTGGGTAACTATTGCCATCCGTATCATATTTGGTGAGTTCCTCCCAATTTTGTAGAAAGTATACGTATCTTGCTTGAACTGCTTTCCGGATTTTGAGAAAATTGCTAATGGGTGCTCGCAGTGACCACGGTGGCACCGTGAAATAATCTGAAAATATACAGGGTTGTCACCAGCACACCAAGCTGTTGTGTTGAGCAAATGTCCATTTTAATGATAACCAATGTCATTCATATGCTATTAAATGACATTGGTTGTCATTAAAATGGACATTTGCTGAACACAACAGCTGGTGTGCTGGGGACATCCTTTATACCTCCCAATTTTGTGCCCCAGTCACAAGTGGTCACTGGGACAGGAAGTGAGGAGAAATCTCTCCAAACGGGGACACAGGCAGAAATGAAAATCTGACAGCCCTGCCCCCACACTAGTTTTGATTGGAGTTCCACTATAACGGTCACTGTGCACACCTGACAGTTACCCAAGCGATCCTCATGGGGTGTCAGTAACTGGTCCTGACATTAGGCAAGAGATATTTTTTTTTTTAGACATGTGCGATTTAGTTTCGTTCCGAAATCGAAATTCGGACGAAATGTCAGAGATTCGGATGTATCCGAATTCCTGAATTACAGATATATATCGAATGCAAACGAATCCGAATTTCCGATTCCCAAATTCGTTAGCGGTACTCTGTACGAAATTTTGTTTGTTGGACGAAATTTCGTTTTTGTTTTTCTTTCCCCCTCAAATGTCACTTTACTTCAACGAACAAACGAAACGACAATTCGTACAGACTACCGCTAACGAATCCGAATCCCGAAACGAGTTGACTTTCGGAACCCGAAATCACGCAAAATCTGAATCAAAACGAAACAAATGTTTTGCCGCTGCGCATGTCCAGTATTTTTATTGTGACCGTGCTGGATTACAGGGAAAGATTTATATTCACCAACGTTTGTAGCTTTACTTTGTCTGAGGATGACTCTGGAACTGAAATTCAGAATAATAGACCCCAAATATCCGTCAGCTGCTGTCATCCCAATTGCCTGCCCTCGTGTTGATTAAACTGGCTTTCTTTCGGCTCCTGAGTGTGCCCCACGCTCATATGTCAGCCCCATAGCCATCCTCGGAAAAAGGAAGCAAAGCTGAAGGTGCGAATATTAACCTTTCACCGGCCAACCATCACCATTATAATTGTCTAAGATCAAATATTCAACATTGTCTCTAATGTAGACATGTGCCATTCATTTCGTTCTGAATCAAAATTCGGACATCTGGACACATTCGAATTTCCAAATCCCAATGCATTCAAATGCGTCCGAATCCGAATTTCCCTTTCCGAATCCCGTCCGAATTTCGTTCAAAAACTAAACTGAATCGGACATGTGACTTCTCTGGTTTTCGGTTTAATGCATTCAAATGGGTCTGAATCCGAATTTTGGAATTGCATCAGGGAGCACCTGAATGCCATTCGGGTCTGGGAGCCTCAGGTTTAGTTTTATGTATATATGGGTCACAATGTTGCCGCTACGAATATTTGTTCGTATTATAGAAATTCGCCAGCAGCAATAGAAGGAGTTTCCTTCAATGTTCGGAGGAGCTCAGGTTCAGACCGGGTTTGGTCACGCAGAGCCACCATATTTTACCTTTACTTGCTGCCAGTCAGGAAAGTAAAAGATTAATTCTGATTGGCCAGTTGTTGCTCTTTTTTTTTTTGCCCCTCAGCTAATAACTTCCTGCACATACAACTGTGATCAACGAACCCTCGAATCCTACTGTCCCAGTCCGCCTCTTGTAAATCAGATGTTGTCACCCAGTCATTGTTGTCTTGTACGAGTAGATATTTTCCCGATTCGCTCTCAGAAGCCCGCGGTTCTCTGGGGTCAGTTGATGCCGCGTGTAAATCCTCTAAATGTGTAAAGAAAAAAAAAGACAAAAAATAAATAAAGATTAAATCCGTCATTGCAGTCGCCGCTTTCCTGGGTATTAAAAAAAATAAAATAAACTCAAATGAATGTGAAAAATTATTTTTATAGACAAAGGATCTTTTGTGTGTTGTCGGTATTTATGTGTATTATGTACATAGCTATTTTAATATGGATATTGGAAGCCTGTACATATGACGCATGGTCCTTTTACCATCTGTATATGACTCAATAAAGGATGCATCTGAACTGACGTCTCCACATTATATTTTACACTGCAGGCAGACGAGGTGGATTTGTTTTTCCAAAACAAAACAACAAACAACACAAAAGTAAAACAAACATTGTAAATGTATTTGTATTTTTTTTAAATGTATTTATTAATTAATTTTGTTTATTTTATTTAATTATTTGAATTAATATTTTATTTTTATTTTATTTTTACTATTTATTTTTGATTGATTTATTATTATTTATCTAATTATTTATAACTATTAAATTTGAATCTATTTTTATTTTTTTATCCGTTATTTTTAAATGAATTTAATTTTTATTTCTTTTTAAATTTTGGTCTTTTTATTGCTAT